GTAAAAAATATAAAAATATTATTTTATATTTAAATTTAATAACAAAAAACATTTAGAAATTTTTGAAATACTATATAGATATATAACTATTATTATTTTATATTCATCGAAAACTTTTCTACTTTACTTACATCTCAGGAATCGTTCAGTTTCCTCAACCCAATACATATAATTTTCTTTCTTCGATGATTCGTACCAAACTAAAGTGCTCTCAACATTCGCCTCTGGGGGCATTGGTCGGAAGCCAAGACCTGAATAGATAATATAAAATATATTATTGTAAAAAAATGTATGTCTGAAGTGCTTTTAGTTATTGTTAAATATAAATTTAACATTGGACCAATTAATTTTAACGTAATTGTTAAAAAAAAAAATAATTTAAATTTAAAAAAATTTCATTTATGATTTTTAAAATTTTAATGTTCTCTTTAAAAAAAAGTCTAAATTTCTAAAATAATGCTTTTCATTTTATTTAAAAAAAAATATATATTTTCAATGCTTTACTTAAGTTTCAGAATTCTCATATAAAAATATATTTTTAATATATATGTTTTTTATTATATTTTATCTTTATACATATGTACTAATATTTAACTTGAATGCTGATAATCTTACCTGGATTCGATCCAATCAATCCATTGTCAAGCATCCATTTAGGTTTATCTGCCTCCAATGTTTGATAGAACACCGCAAATACGGCAGCAAAGAATCCGGTTAACGCCGCATAGAATATAATGTAGAAAAGTAAAATTTTTGCTGCAATAGAAGAGAATAGAAAATCCTTGATTATTATGGAATTCATCTAGTACCTTACTAGATGATTAAATAAATTATATATTCCTTAGCTGTGCGCCATAAAGTGATCAAATTTGGTTATATGCTACCGCAAAGCGATGATGCAATATTAGTTTTGTTGTCCTTCTAAACAGTATTTATTTTTTGTGGCTTTTAGTCGCTTTTACCGTGCATGCCACGCCCTGTTTTCAACGAATTGTGTGCGGTATTTTAATGGCTATGTCTAAGTGTGTGTTTGTATGTGCCAAAACATTTCCGAATGCCATTACATTTATGTCCTAATGGAAATTTTTCATGCTAAGTTACCTCAGAGTTCTAATAAATTTTTAGAGTTGTTTTTCCTTCATTTTTGTTACTTATTGGACTCTAATCAGTGTGAATTGGTCTCACTGGAATTGTATTTCTCACATGTATGTAACTAGTGTAGCCCTGAGAAAATGATTACATAACCAAGTTATGCTAGTCAAGAAATGTTTTCTTCTTATTATTTCGCCCATGCATATTAATTTGTTCTTCTAACATGATATTATGGATGTGATTAAGTTTTTAAATTTTTGGTTTTCTTTGTAACCCTATAAATAAATTTATAAGAAATGTATGTAAAATAATAACAAAAAATATACATATTTAAAAAAATTATACATAGAAATATAAATTATTAATGTTATCATATTTATTTATGTCTGTTAAATAAAGCTTGACAGCATGAAATTATATCTAAAAAATAATATACTTGTTGAAAAAAAAAAAATGATTAAAACGATTTTTTAAATTTTATATTAAGTTTAAAACATTATTCATAACAATGATACTATTAAATCAGTAAATAAATTATTTTAGGATATTACATTTGTTAACAATTCACCTATTTTATTTACTATATTATATAAATATAAGAGTATTCGATGCTAGTCTTAAAGCTACTTTTTCAGAAAGTTTTCTACAATTGCCAATTAGCGAGCGAACACTGTGCTAAAAAAACCTTCGACTGGCTGAGTAAGACGTTAACTGAGCCAAGAATTTCCACAGTTTGCCATACTACTGGGCTAATTGACAAAGTGGGCCATGAAGTGGGGGTGTGGCATAGTATAGTCGTATAGGCTAGTAACGACGACAGTTGGAGGACTGCCACCGCTCAGCCCCGTTCACACTTGTGTAACTACTCCAAAGCTCTACGATTACACAATGCACGACTTTTGACATTTTCTTGGCTCCAGCTGCACATAAAACTAAGGCCAAACTTTGCGAGTATGTATGTATGTGTGTATATCTATTTGTGCTAGGCTAATATCCACTCTCCTGTGCCCTGGCAGTTTTGACTAGTTTGCCATTTTGACATTTCTATTTTGTAATTAAGTGTGATTAAAAGGTCGCCAAGCTTTAGCATCCTTCTCCATCCACTCTCCTATTTTATTTTTAGTTCTTTGGCATTTTATGGGCAGCGCTTTAATTTTAGATTTTATAGTTATGTTCGGTTCGCATTACGCATACGCCATGTGACGCAGCAGCAGTAAATTGTTGATGTAGTGCTAAATATGTTGGAATTGGCATTTGGCATTACCGAGCAATTCTGAAAAGTCATTAATCATTTTGCCCGACAACTTGGAGAATTGTTTGTGTGTGTGTGTGTGTAGCGTGGGAAATTTGCAAAAAGGAAATTGCAAGAGAAATAGTAATAGATTAATGAATGAATGGGAAAAGTCATCGGACTGAGTGCATTTTCAAATTCTTTATTATGAATGGTGGGAAGTATTTAAGTGGAATCTTATTTGTTTGTATTTAGTAGAGAAAGCAAAGTGGACGCTAAGTAGAAGTGATTATAATTGAGAGAGAGTTTAACAAGGCAATTTCTGCAGAAAGAGCTGACCGGAAAGTAACTGGGAGTAATTAGTGGATAGACTTTAGACCTCTTAAGCTTTTTTTTTTTTTAATTCTTACAAATGTTCCTACAATATTTCCCTAAAATTATAATCTTAATTTAAGCAAATATTTATTTATTATGTAGGGTGCTATTATTTAATAAATATTTAGACTTAGATAGATTTATATATTCATTTTCCGAAATCTGTCCCCAAAATAAATAGAGTATAAGGATATAAATGTAAATATATAAACTGAAACCTTAATAACATGAAGATAACATTCTCTAGTAAGCCTCGCAATTAAAATAAATTTAGGCTACTTGAAAATGAGAGATGAATTTTTAAAAACCCCAAAAATTTCGAGCTTAACTTATATTTAAAATAAAAATCACCTACAGTTTGATTAATTGATTAATTTAAAAAAGCAAATTTTAATATTCACTATTGCTTTGGTAAATCAATAAATCACTACAATAAGAAATCATATACAAATAAACTAACTAACAGTGTATATACTGATTAGACATCTAGAACAATCCTTCATGTCATCAAATCAATACGGATTCTAGATGACAGTATTTTAAACATTTTAAGTGCCATACTTATGGTCAAGAGCTTTTGAAACATACTTGTAACAACAAATTGCTGCTCACGGTCAATTAATTGGCAAAAGAAGGAAAAAGAAAAATAAAAAAAAAATAAAAATAAAAATTGAAAAAAGAACGCATGCGCTGTCACATTTGGTGCTGGCCGACTAGCTATTGCCAATGCGCCCGCACTCTAACGAATTCTCAGGGCCAAATACAAACATATATGGAAATATACAAATACATATATAGATCCATAGATATGTGCATAAATATATACTTTTATACACATACCTATACATATATACATGAACATATCATGAACATGTCTGTCTATAGTTTACAGGGTTTCTAGTTCAACTATTTAGAATCAAAGTTTATACAAATGTATTTAAATTTTTGCTATTAATTAGTACTTTTTACTATTCATATATGTATATTCTATATATCTTCTCTAAACTTAAATCTGAATCTTGATAGGCTAACTCCAAAATTCTTTAAATTACTTACGCACATCCTAAGTCTACGAATACCTTAAACATTTGTGCAACGCCTTACGTAATTTGGTTACGTTACGTAGGCAGTTAAATAATAAAAGCAAAAAAAAAGCAGAAAAAGATATTCGTTTGCATGGCAACACTCGAAAAAAAAACAAGGGTTCGCCTGCAGGGCGCCTCCTTTCGCAGTTGGCTGTGCTTTTTTTTCTGCATGCTGAATTTTCTTATTGTTATTCCAATGGGTGTGACTGTGTGAGTATGTGTATGCTTCCGTGCATGTGTGTGTGTATTTCTGCACTTAACGAGCGGTTTGCTCTGCTTTCTGTGGCCGCAATGGCTTTTCGTGCTGCGCTAGGTGGGGCGCCTTTGAAGACGAAGCAACTAAGCATGGGGCTCGGATGGAGCCGGGTATTCGATGTGTTTGCCATTGTTTGAGGCGGGGGAACAGCTGTTTATGCTTGGTTAGCAAGTCAAATACGCTGAGTTGCTCTAAATGCTAAGTGCTGTCAATTAAGATATATAATTTGAATACACATACATTTTAAATCTTTAATGAATTCTGAAATTCAATTCTTAGTGCGGAGAACACAAGCAGAAAATATTAACTGTTTTATCGAAATAGAGGAGTCTAGAATTTAGCTATAAGAACAATGCTATTTTAAGATATTATAAAACCTATTTTAAAAATTGATATTATATCTGCGTATTTTTTATTTTATTGTTAAAAATCAGTTTTATATATTCATGATATTGGTTCTATTTTTATTTTTTTTTTTGTATAATTTGAAAAAAAAAAAAATTAATTGAAATTGAATTGAACAATTAAAAAATTATTAATGAAAAACAAAATTTGCATAATAAATTTATATATTAATTGAAAAAAAAAAAAACAGGTATTCATCAAAAATGATTTCTAAAAAGGTAGAATTTAAAAATTTTTTTGAAATTTTTGAAATTTCTAAATAATAAATATATATTAATTTTAAACCAAAATTCATTTAATAAATTTTAGAAATTATAATTAATAA